GTTGTGACAGTTGTTGTAGTGGGGTAGATTACAACAAACCCGTCCCAAACCCGACCTGTGACCATCCCTATGCTTTGTCCTTAACCAATAAAAAGACAACCTTATTGAGTAGGCGGCTATGATATGTGTAATCTGAAAAGAGTTCACGCTATGTTATGCATTAATCAGTGAGTGAAGGGAAAATTTATCAGATTGGTGGCTATAACATACACAATCTAAAAATGTTTCAATTAAGTGATATTTTGCCAAACATATTTGCATTAGAATATTGGAGCATTGAATTATTATTATTAATTGATTGGCACACCCCGAGAAACTCATGGAAGTACATGTTTCGAGTCTTTAGACCCCCAAACCAACATATTGATTTTTTAGCTTGTAAATGCTACTTGGAGAATTTTATTTACATGATTACGATGAGCATTTAATTTTAGAACTGATTCTTCATTGGTTTGTAATTTTTGTTTTTAATTTGTTTTGACTCATGATTATTAATCAAATAGTATTTATTTATTTTATATATTATTTCACATTAGGTTGTAAACAAATTGAATAACTAAAGCATGTTTTGAGCTTTACTCTCTTAAAGCCTGCCCAAGTCAACTGTTTATTTAACCACGTTGAGGTTGAGTCATAATTTTACTGTCACCTAAGAAATGAGTCAAACTCAACCATTATGGTGTTTTTTTGACTAGGCTCATTGAAATGGTATGATACTTTGGCATTTGTGTTTTTGTCTCATCATAGTTTTGTCATGGGTATTTTGGTAATTTTCATTATTGCTCTCATAGGTTGTAGGGGTCGCCCATGGGTCGTCTTATGGGTCAAGTTATTTAATTGGGTTTTATTTATGTTTCTTGTTTAGTTTTAAATTGGTTTTAGAAGTCAAAGATAATTTAGTAGTTTCCTTTTTTAGTTATAGTTGGTTTAGGAAGTCTCAAGTCTATATAAAATCATGTAATGCTTCTAATTCAATAGAGTTGGTATTTTATAAAAATTTGAGAGTTTTGAAGCTTCTTTATGGATTGTGTGATGCAATCAAACTCAAGGTGTGATGCCTAAGGGATTCTAGGAGTGATTTCTAGATTTATCTCCTTCTTCTTGTTCTTTCCCTCTTTTATTTTCTGCACTTTTAACAGCCCAAAAAACACTGTTCACGGGTACTGTTCACAGCCCCTAAATAGTGTCAAAATCCCATCTTTTCATACTTAACCTCTTGCCCATTATTTACCCTAAACGAAGACTACTTGTCCCCCCTATACTTCTATTGCAATTTCAGCCATAAAATCCAATTAAAACCAGCCCCAAAAGCCCAGATTTGCTGCTGCCCTAATTGTCCTACTCATTAGCTCAATTGTGACCCTTCCTAAGATGTATTTACATTTAAACAAGTAAACATAAAAAATATAATAAAATAGTGGTTCAATGTTTTTATAAAATCTTACCTGTTGTTTTTTCTTTTGACTACTCAATCATGTTTTGTGATTTTGATTTTGAGCATTAGAAGTAAAATAATGAAATTATTAAGCTAACACCTAATGAAAAATGTGGCAGCTTTTCGAACCAAAATTTGATATGAGAACTTCATCATTTTTTTAATATATATATATATTTTATATTTTTAACTAGAACCTCTTAGAAAACACAAATTTATATTTTTTAATTTTTTTTTTTATTACTACTTTTACTTTTGGTCATGTTATTGAAACTTCTATACCTTCAATTAATTGGGAAAGAATGTTAGTTGTGCCGACCAATCTAGTTTTTAGTTGCATGAAGTGGGAGCGGGAGTGGGGCCAGTGGTGAAAGGCAGAGGAGTGAAAGCATATGGAAGTTTCACTTAGAAAATATGAGGAAGAAGAACTCCGAAAATATGAGGAAGAAGGAATATATTTCTGTTATATTCAAAACTTCTTATCTTACAAGACCAAATGATACTCCTTATATAGGAGATATTACAAACATCATTATAACCCATTATATGCCACTTACATATTATATATTACCACTATCTACCACTATCATATTATATACATGCCACTATCTGTCACCAACACCACTATCATATTCTATACATGCCACTATCTGCCACCAACACCACTATCATATTATATACATGCCACTATCTTATTATATACATTAACACAAATTTCCAGCAGTTTCTAAGGTTGGTAGTGTGTATATATTTTATAAATTAAATATATAAATATATTCTAAAGATTATTATTTTTTGCTTGGTTGAAATATATGTTAAAATATGAATAATTATTAGAAATTGATGTCAACTACAAATTGTCTTTGTTAAGTATAAATACATATTATGTAAATAGAAACTACTAGAAAAGTTTGAGTTACTTTTCTTTTATTTCTGTGATATATGTATGTTTGAGAGGTGCTTAATTGGGAGCGAATTTGTTTATTAACGGAAGTGATTTCCTTACAATTTCTTATTTCGGAGCATAGAATCTCTTTTTTGAGTAATAAACGTCACCCAAGTAGGAGTTTCTTGCTATTAAGATCTAGTTTTTAACTTGAAAGGGGTGTAGGTACAAGTCAAAAGTTGGCTTCAATCAATTAAAAAATATGAAGCAATCTATTACAGAAAGGCTTATTTACTTGATTCAAGATAGTTGATTTTTTCGAACTTCAAATACTTTGATATTTGATACAACTTTTCATCTTGGAAATATTTGAAAATGAGGAAGAGGGTGAGACATAAATGAAAATATAGAATCATCTTCTGTAATCACTAACATTATTTATTATGTTTATTGATCTCCAACTCATTGGAGAGATTAGGAAAATGGGCATAGAATAGAAGAGGCAATGATCAATAGTTGAGATGGGATATTGTAGGAGAGTGTTGGTTCAACGAGGGTGGAAAATTATAGATTTGATTGATGAAGAAGGAGGTTTGAGTTTATTTGCGATCGTGGAGAGATGCAGAGTATCCAATCATCTAGGTGTCGCTGTCAGATTTGGCTACAGGTTAAGGAGCTTAAGTGGTTCTTTGTAGTGTTTAGGGATGCTTTGTCCTTGTTTCATCAAAACTTTTGTTGATGTTTGTGTAATAGTTGAGGCAAGTAAAGGTCAAATAGGGGTGGTTGGTTTTCGAGTGCGAGTTGTGGAAATCGAGAGGTACCATTTTGTGTTCTTATTTGAGTTGAGATGACATGGGTTGGGGATGAATGGAGGTGGTACAGAAGTTTTAGGAGTTCAAAGGTTGAAGGAGTTCATAGATGATGGTGGATAGTCGATCATAGAAGATGGTGATAGTCAATCGTTTCAATGGTAATCAAGGATGGAAAGAGAAGGGTGCTTGGTGGTCTAATCATATTAGATTAACAGAATTTGGGTTGGTGCTGTGAGAACGACTTAATTGCCTTGAACTTAATTGAGGATGTAGCTACACAGATTAGACAGGAAATGGTTGCGCAACGTAGCCAATCTCAAGTTATTAGGATCAAAGTTTTTTAAGGCGAGCGTGTAACATGAGGCACTTTACCCCCTCATGAGGCGAGATGTAAGCTTTTCAATTTTTATTTTTAACAAATACAGAAAATATTTTATAATGGTAAAATATATTAAAAAAGTTTAATATGAAGCTGCAAATACTTTTTTGCTCAAGACGTTGAGCATTTCACTGCAGGTATGGAAGTTTGCCCTTATTGAAGGTGAAATTGACATTTTAAGCTTTAATTATCGAGCTTCTCACTTAAACCTTAGCTTTGTGTTTTTTCTTAGTTAGTTGTTTACTTGATTTTGCCCATGAAATATCTTTATAAAAGAGATTCTTCTTTTTTATATTTAAACCATCCATTAGACTAAGTGTAATAATAACTCAAGACAAGCTCTCCATATGCGTAATCCTCGTGTTATATGCAAAAGGGGTACAAGCCGCACCTTAGATGCTCGCCTTAGATTGTGATGTGCAAGCCTTTGGAAGTGTTGCCTAAAAATCAAAACCTCAATGCTAGTGTCAACAATGCCTTTTAAAACTTTGATTAGGATTAAGGCATGTGGAATTCGTTTGATTTAAGTTATGTTCATGAGGTGTGACCCACCGCTTCCGACAGGCCTATGAACTTATGTTGTGGATTGTGGGCAGATTCATATTATTAACAAACGCATAGTTTTGGAGTTTTCTTTGATTCTCTAAAAGAAATCGTCAACACTGACAGATGCCATGAAAATCACCATGTATTGTTCATAGATGCACAATTCCATTTTTAAATTTTGCAGTAGCCTTTTTGAAATCACATTTCTTGTCATAAAGAAGCAGATGAACTGCACAATGCAATTCATTTAGGTGTTTATGGAAGCGATTTGAAGATACTATAGACGTATGCATATACACATATCTTGTAATCTTGTTTTAGCTCTCCTGTTGGCTTACTTCTGGTTTATTTTCCTATGATGGCTACCTGATTTATTCAGGTACTGGAAGGTTTAGACCCTGTTAGGAAAAGACCAGGAATGTATATTGGAAGCACCGGACCTCGTGGTTTGCACCATTTGGTAACTTCTTTACTTTTTTGCTTCTCTACATTAACACTTTTCATTGTGCCAAGTCTATTTTATCTAAACATGAGTTACAAGATTCACTGATGTTGATTTCTTTTAGGTTTATGAAATATTAGATAATGCTGTTGATGAGGCACAAGCAGGTTTTGCTTCAAAGATAGATGTCGTCTTACATGCGGACAATTCAGTGAGCATTACTGACAATGGGCGTGGGGTATGTTTGTATTCTACTTTCTGTAGCCAAGTAGGAGTTCTCTTAGGTGTAAAGATTTGTTGAGGCATAAACCAGACTGTTTCTTTGCAGGGGATGTATTGAGATTCTTGACATGGATGCTTAATGTTAGCATGCTCTCACATGACTATATGCTCGGTTTTTGTGTGCACGTGCATGGGTCCCTATTTAGCCACATTGCACATTGTTGAATATTCTAGCAGTTTGCTTGATTTTCTACGGTGTGATTCAAAATTGGATGAATGTGATGTTGTGAAAGAGATGTCCCTCAAATGGTATTTTGCATGAAATGCTTTTATATGCAAATAATAATTTTTTTCTTTCTTGAGAAAATTATTATGTGCCTTAGTAGAGTTGTTTACATTGAACTTTTCTCGTTGGAACCTCAATGAATAAAATGCAGGAGGCTATCATTACGTATTTGATACAACCTAATATCCTAGATCTCTAATAGTGGCATATTCAGCCATATTTATATATTTTTAAGTCCTATTTTATCTGGGACCAGTGAAAAGATAAGTTTGCAAATAGATATATTTAACATGTTGGAGTCTTATAAGGATTTTATCTTCTGAATGTTGTTTCAGTTTATAGAAAATCTGGCTTTAGGAATTGGACATAGACTTGGTTTTATTCTCTATTTCTTTCTCATCCCAAATTTAAGGAAGAAGAAGCTCAGCCATGCATGACGCACACTTAATGAACTTGTTGAAAGAGTCCTGATTATCCCCAACTATGGATCCAATATATGCATATCAGTGTGACTAAGGAGTAATTCACATGATGTTTCCTGCTTAGACTGCTACTTCTTTGGAATCCATACGGCATACTTGACATAATTTTGGGATACGTATTTTTAATAGTTAATGATTTTGAATTGCTATGATTATTTGGATGTGATATGCATATCAGTGTGACGAAGGGCTAATTCACATGATGTTTCCTGCCTAGGCTGCTATCTGTCGTGGAAACCTTACAAAATACTGGACATAATTTCGGGATATGTATTTTTGGTTGTTGAAAGTAAATGACTTTGAATTGTGATGATTATTTGGTTTCTATTATGTTTAGAAAGTCTACACTAAAATGCTGCTTTTGTATTATGCTTAGAAAGATGTCATGTTGTTAGATTTTGCTTATAAAATTCATTTAAACCAGCTTTTGATGTGTTATTGCAACTTTTCACTTACTTCTATGTATCATGTGTGCATTGCAGATTCCAACGGACTTGCACCCAGTGACCAAAAAATCGGCTTTGGAGACTGTGTTGACGGTATTATTGCATAATGCACAAACTGCACTTTAAATTTTCTAGTATGGTTTAGACTGGTGGTCATCTGGTCAACATTCCAATCCCATGTTTTTCCAGTTTAATTCTTATTTTCTATATGTTTGTACAAAACTCATACTAGGCATGCCAATTATGTGAAACAAGGGAAAGGACAAGCTTTATTTGTTTATTTCAACCCAATGCGACTCACTTTAGGTCTAGTGGGGGCAGTTGCCCCCATTTGAGTTTATATTTGTCAACCACTGTAACTATTATATTACACATTTAAAATTGATTTAAGTTCAGGCGATTTGCCCCTACTCACCATGTTTTTTGATTGATAGGCCACACTTTTGCTTGTTTATGGTTCTGCTCAAATGATTTTTGTCTCTATTTTTTAATTTTCCCCATCTTTCTATATTTTTTTCAGTCTCTTTTTGATTTCTAATCATATTGCTTCTCTTTTTCAATATGGCACATGCATGTTTGATGTTGACCTAATAAGCATGTACATGGCTACGTGACACGATACAGACACACCAAAGCAACAAATTTTAAAAAATGTAGAACATGAGACATGGGGGACACATTCAAAATGTATAGTGTTAGAATTTCCCATCTTTACCTTAATCTACTCCACTACACACTCCACTTCACCTACCTCCACTTCACCACACACTCCACTTCACCTAACCCACTATCACCTCCACTACACCTACTACCACATTTTCTTCTATATATAGGAATTGTAATTAATCAATCTTGTAATACATCAACACAACAATCTTGTAATCAATAAATCAATAATACATAAATTATTACATGGTATCAGAGCGAGGTTGAGAAGCTAGTAATTCTGCTTCACCGGCGGGCGGCAGCCTCGCCTTGGCCGCCCGCCGGACCTCTACCCATACCTTCACTCCGCTGCTCTCTCTCAACATTTTCTCTCTCTCTCCATGGCGGATGTTCATCATGGAGGAGCACAAGGCATCAAGCTATTTGGCCCAACAATCGCAGTACAAATCAAACAACACAAAATGATCATCCAAACAAAGCTGATGATCATCATCATCCTGATCAAACAATAACAGACAAGAGACCATACAAGATCATACCATGTCCTAGGTGCAAATCCACATCACTCCACGGAGGACCACCACCACCGCCTCTGCGCCATCATCGGCGCCATGTCTCAAGAGCTCAAAGACCAACCGCTCCCTCTCACTCCCGTCGCTTACCTCGACCGCCTCTCTGCCGAGGCTGAGCCGCCCAGTCACGTCGTCACAGGACCCTCTGAAGCCCTCGTCTTCGAAGCTCACTTCCACCACCATCTCCTCCGCCTCCGGCGGACGCTGGAGCCCTGCCAGATTCGCTGGAGCCCTCCTCTTCGGGGTCAATTCCGCCCTCGGATACCTCCTTATGCTCGCTGTTATGTCTTTCAACGCCGGCGTCTTCCTCGCCATCGTCGTCGGCTTCTTGTTCTTCAGAGTTCTCAGCAACCGAACCTCCGAGTATAGCCGATCGATTGTTGCTTGATCATCCCAGAAATTTCGCAAATTTGACCTGGTTCCAAGCCACCTCTATACCTTCCTCTTGATCAAACGCTGGATCGGAGTTCATGCTCGGCATCAGAAAATCGGAAGCTTTGGAGCGAAGCTTTCACAGCAGCACTGCTTCGAACGCAAGCCACAGAGACATATCTCTCTCTCTCTAGTTACTTTTCTTCTTTTCAAGACACCCACCAGCGCATGCTTTCCCATTAATGCTTTTTTCTTATTATTTTTTTTATTATTTTTAAACTTTAAATCCTCTCTTTCCAAAACAAAAGCACACCCACTCTTCTTTTTTTATTTAATCACCAGCACACCCATTCTTCTTTTTTATTTTTTTATTTAATCACACCCGTATCATGTTGTTGATCACTCATTCTCTCTCTATAACAATCAACCCACATGTTTCCCATTTCTTTTCTTTTCTTTTCTTTTTTATTTAATCAATCCCACCCCACTTTCTCTTATTTTAATCTATCTCTATATCTATATATCTATGTTTCTTTTCATTCTTATTAGTATTATTATTATTATTATTATTATTATTTTTATTTTTTGTTTCTTTTTTTATTTTTGCACGCACCATAAAAAAAAAAAATAAAAAAAAAAAAAAAAAAAAAAAACAACCAGCAGAAGACGAACTTGCACACCACACTCTCTTTATTCATGTCGGGGCTCCCGATCACCATTTTACACAAAAAAAAAAAAAAAAAAAAAAAAAAAAAAAAAAAAACAACCTCCTCCACAGGCAGAATTTTTCTCCTCTACTCTAGCGCGTCTCTTCTTTTTGCCTCCGTCCTGGGCAGTCCTTGCGCGTGCGCCTCTGTGCTCACCCACTGAGCACGTCACTACCCTCTCCTCCATCGCAGCATATGGCGGCCCTCCAAATCGGAACATCACGGTGGCCTTCCGCTTCTGCTTTGTTTTCTGCCCTTAGCACGCTTATCTCTGCTCGCGCATCTATTATACATGCGTTGGCAGAGCCAGCTGGGAGTTTACATGCTGCACCTCATTTGTCCTACTCTGCAGCCGGTTCGACAATTGTGACCGCCGTCATGCTTTCCACACATGCCTTCAGAGTATACTGATTTGGCCTCCACAATCTGACTAGCACCGCCATTTTTTGCTCCACCGACCGCACTCGGGAAATTCAACGGAGCAAACTCCGGAGGCACTTGGTTGCGTTTCACTGGCCACCGCACCAGTTATTTCTCTGTGGGCTCGTTCAGTTCTTGGAAAGAGCGTGAGCAGGTTCTGGGTAACTGGACGGGAAGAAGAGGCCATGTTTTGAGTTGCTAAGTGTTTCAGAGAAGGTTGGTTTCCGGGTGTTTCAAGATTTGCGAAGACAAGCTCTCCGAGCGTTCAGAGGTTTCAGACTCGTATGCACAGCCTTTCCGCCTCAGCCTCTGTCTTATAGCCGAGGCAGCCACGCGCATGGCCTCTTATCACCAGCCGACAAACGGGCACGCAAGCCAAGGCGCCCACGTGCCTCGCCATCATGTCCGGCACACCTTTTGATGAATTGGTCACACCTTTTGATGGCACGCCTTTTGACAAAATTGGGCACACCTTTTGAGGATGCCACTTTTCCACGGGTCCGACAAGACTCTATAAACTGCCCCGACATTTGATACCGGTTAGCTCCTTTATGGGTCCGACAAGACTCTGTAAACTGTCCCGACATTGATTCCGGTTAGTTTCTACAAGGGTCCAGCAAGACTCCGTAAACTGTCACAACATTGTTTTCTACAACGGTCCGACATGACCCCATAAACTGTCTTCTACAACGGTCCGACATGACCCCATAAACTGTCTTCTACAAACGGTCCGACATGACCCCATAAACTGTCTTCTACAAACTGTCTTCTACAACGGTCCGACATGACCCCGTAAACTGTCTCCTACATCTGACACGACCACACAGTGTCTGCTTCAACGGTCCGACATGACCCCGTAAACTGTCTGCTACAACGGTCTGACACGACCATACCGTGTCTCCTATCCTTTTTTATTTTTATGTATTTTCTTGTTTTGTTACTCTCTCCAAACTCAAGTTGGTTAGTTTCTCTCCTCCTTGAGTTTGCGGGGGGCTGTTAGAATTTCCCATTTTTACCTTAATCTACTCCACTACACACTCCACTTCACCTACCTCCACTTCACCACACACTCCACTTCACCTAACCCACTATCACCTCCACTACACCTACTAACATAATACTAATTTTTAAAGTTTAGAGGAGGAATATGTATAAATCTACATTTTTTTTTCTTTTATCATTTGATCCCATCTTATTTTCTTCAAACTTGTAATGTGTTTCACGTGTATCTAAACATTGGACGTGAATCTCCCAAGTGTTCAAAAGTGTCTTTGGGTCTAAAAATAGGACACATGTATTACGTGTGTCTAGAATTGCCAATTAGAAAAAATCCGTGTATAGTTTTAGTAAGATTTGCCCCTGCTTGGCAAAAATCCTAGCTCCGCCCTGTTTCAACCTTTGAGTTTTCAGTGTACTATGTAAACCTTTGTCAGATTTTCTTGTTGGGCTTTTGCAGCTATGTAGGAGGAATAGTTTAGATGAATGATAGGAAAGCAAGCAAAATAGAAGTTATTAGTAGGTGCTTCTGTATATATTTGTACTATATGTATATATTGATATATATGTAGAAAAGAGACATTCATATGTTTTTTATCGATCCTGAGAAAGCATATGATAGAGTGCCTCGAGATATAATCTGGTGGGTGTTAGAGAAGAATGGGGTGACAAAAGGTTATATTGATGTAATTAGGGATATGTATGAAGATGTAGTGACCACTATTAGATCGTCTACTGGAGAGACAAGTGAAATTTCAATTACTGTGGGGTTATGGATGAGTTGACGAGAAATATTCAGGATGATATGCCATGGTATATGCTTTTTGCAGATGATATTGTGTTAGTGGATGATGAGATTAGAGAAGAAGTTAATACTAAGCTGGAGATTTGGAGAGAAGCACTTGAATCTAAAGGATTTAGGATAAGTAGAATAAAGACAGAGTACATAGAGTGTAATTTTAGTAACAATAACAATGGAAGCAAAGCAGAAGTGGAGATTGAGAATTAAGAACTACCTAAGAGTGATTATCGCAACGGTTGGAGAGATTGGAGCTGATGTGGTTCATAGAATTAAGGCGGGATGGCTTAAGTGGAGGAACATCTGTGGTACTGTGCAATAGACAAGTACCCACTAGACCAAAGGAAAATTCTATAGAACGGCTATTAGATTAGCGAAGTTGTATGGGACGAAATGTTGGGCAACGAAGAAATAATATGTAGATAAGAGGAGTGTTGTTGAGATGAGGATGTTAAGGTGGATGTGTGGCAAGACTAGAAAAGACAGAGTTATGAATGAGTATATTCGAGAATAGGTAGGAGTATTACCGATAGAAGATAAATTGAGAGATAATAGATTGAGATAGTTTGGTCATATACAACGGAGACCAATAGAGGCAGCAGTGAAGAAATGCGATACAATAATGGTAGATGGAAGTGTTAGGGGAAAAGACATACCTAGATTGACATAGGCTAGTGTAGTAAATAGAGATATGAATCTTCTTAATTTGATTAACGAAATGGCCTTTGATAGAGCCGAATGGAGAAGAAAGATTTATGTAGCCGATCTCATTTGATGGGACTTGTTAAAACCTATCACCTACTTCACCTACTAAACCTAACCCACTACACTACTACCACCTCACCTACTCCACTAAACCCACTACACCACTACCACCTCCACTTCACCTACTCCACCTACCACCTCCACTTTACCTACTCCATCTACCACCTACTACCACCTACTCTTCTATATATAGGAATCATTGTAACATTCAATAAATCAACAATTACCATATCAATCAATCAATAATACATAAATTCTTACATGGTATCAGAGCTATAGGTTAAGCTCTTGGTGCTCTTCGCCTTCTGGCGGGCGGCAACCTTGCCTTAACCGCCCGTCGGACCTCAACCAATTGAAACCTCTAATACATACCTCCT